AACTCAGGCCCTTGTGCTTGCCAGGGAAGCGCTTATTCTACTGAGCTATCTCCCCGGCCTGGTCCAAAAAATTAAATAGAAAAATTCCTAAGTTTCAAGTTGTGTGCTGGGCGGTGTGGTGAAATCTCTCGCCCAGGACCAAGTCTTCCCCTTTCATCGCATCCACCTGGTATATACTACCTGCCCACCAGTCCTTACAGTACCAAGCGCTTCTAGTCAAGTGACACTCATTTTACTTACTAACAGCACCCAAAGTGCAACTGCAGTGACAATGGTGACCCAGGCAGGTCACCAAGAAGCCATGAAGCGCCTCCTTCAGGTGAGAAGGTAAATGCCCTCATCCAAGGGAGGAAAAAAACCTGTGCTAAAATTGCTACGGTCTGTGGTGAGTCACGGATAGCGACCTCCTATGCGCCTCACTCATAAACTAAGCTGGCCTTATCCCAGGTACCCACGCACAGCAGCAGCCGCGGGCTGTGACGAGGCCCTCGGCTTCAGGCATCCACCTGGAACGGGACAAGACGGCGACCACTACGGGGAGCGGTGGAGTGCACGCCCAGGTTTCACCGCGAGCAGGGCAGCCTCACCTCCTCCACCAGCTGGACGCCGTAGTCCCTCTTCAGTGGCTGGACGGTCACACCTCTCCCGTTGACGAGCTGGGTTAAGTCAATGGGTTCAGTGGGGTCAACGCGGCCCAAATCAATGAGATACTGCAGCCTCCTCAGACTCAAGGGCTGGTACTGACGTCTGAAGCTGTGATTCAAGAAAATCACAATTGGAAAATAAACACACGTTTCTTCCCACAATGTCTCCAAGTCAACTCACAGCTTTGTCCTGGCTTTCTCCATTGTTTATTGCGGTTTGACAAAAGAAAACCCTCCCGACTACCTCACAGCAGGTAATACTGCCAGTTACGGTACTTCACAGCAAAGTATCTGCCTCTGTAAACACTTAGTGGACTCATATCTACAAATAAATAAATTTACAAAATAATGTTACTATCTTAATTACACAGTGTGGCCTACAACGGCCAGTTGTACCACCTATATCTGTCTACATACAATTATTTTCTTGCTAATCCTGTAAGCAATCATAATCTCCATTCTGCAGGTGTGACTAATCCAGGCTGTTTAATTCCTGAAAAGACTCAGAGAATACAGTAGCAAAAAAAGTTTGCTTTGAAATGAACTCTGAATTTCTCCAACCTCCCTTTCTGGGCGATCCTAACTGGAAAGCAGGGTCCTGTGCTTGGAGAAGCAGCGCACACTACCTGTGTCCTTCATTAAACCCGTATTTTGGGATGCGCAGGTAAAACGGCGTCTGCCCGCCCTCGAAGCCCAGTCTGGGCCGGTTTCCCCTTTGCCT